AAAAAAGGCCGTTTAGGAACCTGATGATCAATCGCTCATCATCCTCTCCATAAATTAAGCACACAGGTTTGAATTATCAAACAGACTAGATTTCCCCGCCTCGAATTAGTTTGAAATTAAGCAATACTGTGCGATTTGTATATATAGAGGATATTATGTGGAATGTAACAAATATCTCAGTAAATATTTTTAGAGAATGTAGTTTTGCGTCCTCTCATAAAATCTCCGTTTGAACTCTCTCCTCTGATGTTGTTTCCTTGACCTTCATAAGTAACTTAACGTTTTTTAGTGTCAGTTGTGACAGAGTTTATTATCTAGGTACTGATGAAACACCAGGATTTTTCCTTTTACTAAAAAATCATATCTTCATCGCGCGCAGTGAAGATACTGTTTTTATCTTTCACGTGTGAATGTATCTCTCACAAGTTCGCTTCGCTCACTCGTGAGAGATACTTTCAGCACTCGAATATAAAATTCGTATCCCCAAGCGGCCATGTAATGTTCTGTTTGTTTTATAGATACTGATGAAATTCATACATAAAAGACAACTTTTTTTCAAAAGAACCAGCCGCTCGCCTGAGCGGGAAGCTCTCTTGTAATTGGCTGATCATGTTAGTAACCATGGCGACATCAATATCCTCACACGTGAAAGATAAAAACAGTATCTTCACTGCGCGCGATAAAGATATGATTTTTCAGTAAAAGGAAAAATCCTCGTATTTCATCAGTACCTAGATAATAAACTCTGTCACAACTGACACTAAAAAACGTTAAGTTACTTGTGAAGGTCAAGGAAAGAACATCAGAGGAGAGGGTCCAAACGGAGATTTTATGAGAGGACGCAAAACTACATTCTCTAAAAATATTTACTGAGATATTTGTTACATTTGCAAGGAGATTTAGTAAGATCATGGAAGTTAAGGTCCTAAAATTGAGTTCATCATTTTATTTTTTAGACTTTGATCAGTTTAAGTTAAATTTAGGCGACAAATCTTTGGCAAAATCTAAGATTTTTTGGAGTTTAAATCCTCTGGCTTTGAATGTCCAGTGCAAAACATTTCAGTTTTTTAAAGCGGGAAAGATTGTTTCTAAATTTATTTTTTATTACTAACCTTTTACACAAGAAGCTTGTATTGTTTGATATTCTGGTCGTATGACTGATGAAACCAAAAGCAAGAAACCGAAATAAGACTTCCCCTGCAAAACAAAGATAAATGCGAATAGCTATTGTAAGAAAGATGTTAAAGCTTCTGTAAAATAAAGTAATATGCGTGGGTGAATAAAAAATTGCTGAACCGAAGAGGGAAAACGGTTACCAAGTATAAAGATTTAACTCGACTTCTACAGAACAAAAAAAGGGCCCTTTAGGAACCTGAAAATTAATCGCTAATCATCCTCTCCATAAATTAAGCGCACAAGGTTAAATTATCAAACAGACTAGATTTCCCCGCCTTGAATTAATTTGAAATTTAGCAATGCTGTGTGATTTGTATCATACTCTGCGTTACAATTGACACTGAAAAAAGTTAAGCTACTTAGGACGGCCAAGGAAACAACATTAGAAGAGCCGGGCCCAACGGAGATTTCATGAGAAGAAGAATTTCTGCTCATTTGATGGACATATTCATGAAAAAAATTTCAATTTCGAATGGCCTTATTTCACCCATTGTTACATTGGGAACACTAGAAACGGTTACCATCTTTCTGAATCTTAAAACTTGTTTTGCCGAAAATAACTGACTCCCCGCGTAAAACGTAATGTGCACATTATGTTAGCATTTTTAAATTTCTCATGACGTTTAGGGCACAGATTGGGCATGTCTATTCAAGTTCGATTAAATTCACACAAGTGGTTTGATTGTTAACAACTGATGGAAAGATATGAATGATTCGGATTTGATTCAGCACGGCAGAAGTACCGATGTTAATGCGTCAGATATTCTTTATCCAAGGGATACAAAGGAAATTTTGAAAAAAGACGGAGTTTGTTAATTAAAAACGACGTCCTTCTATGGCAATTCATGTTGTGTAAGAATATTAATCAATATAATAATGGTCGATGTAAGAGCAGCTCTGATTATAAAGGCGCTGAAATATGAATCGGAAAATTGATGAGAGGTCGCATTAACACATCAGCACATTAACAATTAAATATCGTACTTACCTCGACTCTAACTCTGAACGCTTTATTGCTGTGTATAGTAAAGCAGCCAAATTTAGAATTAGAATCAGCAGCATGTGTCTATTTTAAGGTTACAGGCGCGTGGTAAATCCCAGCCCACCCTTGAGGGGCCGAAATTGAGTATGCATTGTAAGACAAGAGTCGGGGAGAGGTTTGCGGGGAATCTGGCACTAATTATCAGTACCAAAGCCCGGACAGACCTCTCGCTGGCTCATGTTCCTGAAGACCTCATTCATTCGCGCGGGCGAAGAAGCGCTTGTGACCAAATGCCAATAATGAGGTCTTGCATGCTAGCGTATCCTCCCTCGTAGCCTTTGTTCGCTCTCGTCACGCAACGGGAGGAGAGAGAGCGTGTTGCGTGACGAGACCAAACAGTGGCTCTGAAGGAGACAACAGTGAGTGTTGCACCAATGCAGTTTATTTTTGCTTACATTTAGACAACAAAGACAATATACCGCAAAAGACCTGTGCCTGAGTTTATTTTGAATGAATTGAAAGGGCCTTTTTTCGCTCTCCATTAAACGATATTTTCGTTGGAATCTTTTGAAAATTAATTATTTTTTTCATGTACAAAAATGCAAACGTCAATTACTTGGTGGCCCATCCTAACCCACAAAACGCTTGCATGCGTTGCATGCCTATGTTTACGAACTGCGTGGCCAGGAGGAAAAGAATCTCGTTTTAATGCGTCGTTTAACGTAATGCTTGATGCCAGTCAGCTTGTGCTGCAGCGGACGCAAATGACATGAACAATATTATATATATATATACATATATATATATATATATATATATATATATATATATATTTATCAGATATATTCGCTTCAATTCTTGAAAATTAACTTGTAATTGCTCATGCATTACAATATCAATGCATCTATAATATCCGATAAACAGATACGGAAAAGGACCAAGCTTTTCAGACGAAGTGTTCAATTGATAGAACGCCAAGTTCTCTCAACTGATTTAAGAGGCTATAGGGGAGAATTTCTGATTTGATCTTGAGGGTTAAAGAATAAAGTTTTGTTCTCGATGAATTTTTTGACTAACTTTGGTCTTACAAGCAACACAAAAAGTTGTGCTATTTTTAATTCGGAATGTATGCTTGCGTTTGCTGCTTGTTCCCTCCTTTTCAGAGAAAATCAAGTCAAAGAGCTTATTCATTGAGGTCCACTATAACCTGCCACGAATCTCCCATAGTTCATTGGTAGAGCGTCCGAACACAGGCATACCTCACTATGTATGCGTGGTTAATAATTGTTGATATGAGACAAACAAAATCTATGAGGGTAATCTCGGTTTGAGTATCTCAGTTAAGTTAAATGGAATGTTAATCGATGCATCTGTGATATTTAAAGCCTTCGTGGGCTGTTTGAAGCGTCTTTTTGGGAATAACTTTTTTCTGGCGGCCGTTGTAGAAAAAAGTAATTTCGTAAAAAGACGCTGACAGGGTGAGGAATTATTTTGAAATAAAAGAGACGTTGGGAATGGTTTTCGTGCCTAGTGCTCGTAGAGCCCGAGGCACCATGTTATCGTGCACACGTGTGTGTCCGTAACTCGGGTTTTTCTCGTATTCTTTCGCCAACAACCCGAGACCACTTTCGAGCAATGTTCGTTTGATTTTCGTATCCCGAGAAGACATGACGTAGATGGCTACCAACAACCCGATACCACTTTCGAGCAATGTTCGTTTGATTTTCGTATCCCGAGAAGACATGACGAAGATGGCAACTTTTTGCTACGATCGCTCTATGTGCTCACATTGCGCGTTTGTTCAACGACGTTGGTAAGTTTTCTAGGTTTAAGATAAATTTATCTTACTTTCCTTCTAGAGCCAGGCTGAACTTTCGGTAGATTTTCAAAGAATTTGATCTTAAAAGCAACATGAAGGGATTTTTCGAGAATTTTCTTGCTTTATCGGTAAAGAAACTGAAGAAAGGGTTGTGTCCTCGTGTACCGGTACACAAAGGAACGAAACATTAACGAACTGCGTCACAACTCCATGCATGGATGTGAAAACAATAGGAATTCCCCCGTGTACCGGTACACCAGGACAGCCCCGAAGAAAGTGTTAATGATTCTTCCCTCGATCAGTGGCCGTGGACGAGCGTTTCCAGCCGAATCCTGTCGTTATATGCCTTGTTTAGCGATCATTAACTTCTACAGAAGATGGAATTTCCATGCAAAAGTAGCAAATCCTATGATAAACAGCCAAAAGGTGTACCACTACGCTCGTTGGCGAGTGTTATAAACTCCCTCGGGAGTGCCAAACCTCCCTTTGGGGAGCCATAACTAACCTCCCTCGGGAGTGCCAAATGTCCCTTCGGGGAGCCATAACTAAACTCCCTCGGGAGTGCCAAACAAAATCCCTTTCGGGAGTCAAATTTATCAAAAGACATCAATGACCCAACTTCTTTGAAAGCACCAATCAAAGTTCAGCCTTGTTCTAATGAGTTAATCAAATAGATGTAAGCCATGTAATGAAAAACACAGACACTCTCGACTATGTGTAAAACGTGCTTAATGCAGGATGAGAGAAAGAGAGCTGTCTCAGATCAAGATGAAAACTATTATTAATTTGCTCAAAAAGAAAAAGTCACGTGACAAATTCAAGAAAATGGTGTTGAAATATGTACCTGTTTCATCTATTATTTTTGTACAAAGTTGCAACATATTTCAATCATTGGAAAATGAAGTGTATTCGCAAAGAAAATAGTTTCTATAGTTCACATTTTTATGCATTTAAAGTTAAGGGAGAAAGATATTCTGTGGCTAAGTGTCATTATCAGGTGATGTTGAATTAAATCCTGGTCCTATGTTTGGGAATACTTTTGAAACCATTTCCTTTACCGACCAAAATTTTGTATTGCAATACAGAAAGCTTAGACATGGATTAGAGCCATTAGATGTAGGTGGTGAAGGTGATTGTTCATTTAAATTAATATCGCATCAGTTATATGGTGATTCAAACCATCATGCTGAAATTAGAGCAACAGCTGTGAGATTCTTATCTGATAATCCTGATCGGTTCATAGAAAGTGTAGTAGGCACTTCATGGAATCAATATCTGTGTAATATGTCACACCAAGGTACGTGGGCTGATAACATTGTTATACAAGCAATTTCTGACTCAATACAATTAAAAATAAATATGGTAGAATCAAGTCAAACTTTCAGAGAAACAACAATAATTGAGCCAACACTTTGTAATGATGCTGAAAATATCAAGTCAGTATATATAGGCCATATAGGAGAAATGCATTATGTATCCACATTTCCAGTCTCACCTTTAGAAAATTCTACTGATATAGAACATGAAAAATCGGGCAAGCATATTCATTTATCGCCAAAAAGCAAAAGACAAAATAGAGCTGCATATATGAAAGAATATAGAAAAGCTACTGATTCTTCTGAGAAAAGAGCAAAGCTCAATGAAAACAAAAGAAAGCATAGAGCAGCTTTAAATACACCAGAAAAAAAAGCTAAACACAATGCTGATGTTAGAAGTCATCGAGCAATCTTGATTTCACCAGAAAGAAAAGCAAAATGTAATGCTTATGATAGACATCGTAGTTCTGAAAGATACAAACACATCTGTTGATGTTAGTGTGAAAAAGTTTCATGACATAGTTAAAGTATACATCTGTAGTTGTTGCGATCAGTTGTGGTATAAGCATAGTGTAGTAAATGCTTCCCTTGCGAAATGGCTTTTGGAATTCCTAGGAATTCCTAGGATTTTCCTAGGAATTCCTAGGAATTCCTAGGAATAAAGGTGTGAATTTTCACGGTAAATTCGGACTGGGAATTCCTAGGAATTCCCAACCATAACAACTCTGGTTCTAAAAACCTAGAAATTCCTAGAAATTCCCAGAAATTCTCAGAAAATCCCAGAAATTCCAAGTTTATAGCCAACAGGACTTGGAATTCCTAGGAATTCCAACTCAGAGAACCAATGACTTTCCCTGAAAAGCTGTAAATCTAAAAAATTCCTAGGAATTTCTGGGAATTTCTGGGAATTTTTGGGAATTTTTAGGAATGTTTAAGAATTACTGGGAATTTTAAGCAAAAATTTGAGGCTAATGATATAAAATAAATACTTTAAATTAAAAAAAACCCAGCTAAAATTCAAGTATTCAATGAAATTTATTTAGAAGCTTAATTAAGGCTTACATGTAAAATATTTTTGATTAATTAACATCAATGTGTGGTAATACTAGGATGGAATTTGATTTATTTTTCTTTTCTTGAAAACTTCATACGGATTAATCCTCAATTACAGTTATTCATATAAAATAGTTCTAATCAATCATTAAATTTGGTTTGACACAAATTGTGAATAAAATCTGTTGATTCTTTTCCATAAAATACAATATCTTAAGTTATATTTGAAAACCAAGCACTCTTGGGAGTGAAGGGGCTAATTACAGACAAATAAAATTGATTTTTTGATTAAAATCTTGTTGTAACTGTAACAATAAATTAGAATGAGGTTATCCTAAACTGCAAACTTAGCTGCTGTTTGTACTGTTTGTATTTTTTTTCCTGGGCTCACAATGAGTTGGCCTTGAATGAGGTTGTCAACAAGAACCTTGACCATTTTGTATCTGGATTCCTTGACATCTGAATTTGAAAAAAATAATATATTAAAATATGTATATTTAAAGCTCAGACCAGGCTTTTAAGATGGCTATGAGGAAAAGGGCATTCATTGGATTCTCAAATTGAGAAATCTCTGTTATATTGAGTGACTTTAATATTGGAGTTAGTACATCTCTCTCATGGATTTTACTAAAAAAGGGCTGAATACATTATTTTGTTTTTACCAAGGAGGGCTTCTTTATGTACTAAGGTTTGTTTAATAACAGTTCCTATTATGAATCTTGAATGTTCCCAAACGTGACTAGAGGAATCTTGAAACCTTACTGATAGGTTTATTTCATTGTAAAGCATAAGCTTAAGAAACTGCGGCATGCAAGTGACCGATTCGATTCTCAGAATTATTCTAGTTTCAGTTGCGCCGAGCGTTATGTAAGCTTAATTCAACCCACTACATCTATTCTTTTATAAGATTTTGATCACGTAACGAATATCGCAATTTTTACTCACCACAAACTTTCAAAATCGTAGCTTTACAGATGGCCACTCGACCCTTGTTTGTACCAGTCAATATGTCAACTGTTGTCCCTTCTTTTAACTCCACGGCGCCAACGACTTTCTTTTCTTTTACAACACTCACGCTATTCTCGTTTTCCCATTGAACCACAATAAAAGCTATCTTTAGAAATGTTATATTAAGCAAAACAGTTGAGAAAAGCGATCAACCGATCCAAAGTACATTCAAAGATGAGCGCCAAATGGAGTCTTCTTTGTTTCCGATCACGGGCATGATCACGTGGATCTTTTAGGACTTGTCATTGGCTAGCAGAGTGAATCCGCTGGCTTGCCGATTGCAGTGTTAGGAGAAGTGCCCAAGTTTATTCTGACTTCTCCGACCGGTTCTCTGCTTCTAGAAGATGGATAGCTTGGTGATATAAATAAAGATGTGAGCTCACTCTATGTAGAAATAATCGAAAAGAATCGATCGTATTACAAATGCACGATTTGTGGCCGAAAGTTGTCGAGGAAACAAAGACTCAAAACTCACTTGAGTTGTGTTAATGGCCAAGGTGAGAAATAACATAAGCCAATCACAGTTTTGAATGCGACTACAAATCGTCTTTTACCCTCATATTTATAAAAGAAGGATACCACATTCGGAAGTATAAGAGATACATAGATGATCCCAGTGTACCAGTACCTAAATCTACAAAGCTTGACCGTAGCAAGCGTTCAGCAACACGTTCCAACACCGCCATCTCGATTCCTCAGTCAGTCGTTTCCACTGAACTTAAAGCAGTATTGACAACAGAGTAGAGTGCGTCTTACAAAGGAGAAACATTTGTACAAGAGACAGGAGTAGCTATATGCGATTACAAAGGTGCGTTGGAACTCTGGTCCACAAATAGTTATGCACTGCCCGAAGTATAAAACAATCTTGTTGATAGCTGACAGACAGAGGAGAACAAGTAAACTTAAGAGCTGTTATTATTGAAGTGTGACTATCACTTTTCATTTTTATATAAAGAAGGACTTGTAATTTGCACCAAAAATAAAAAGATGTAATATTTTTTTGGGAGATCCAGTGATCGGGACATTTAAGAGATTAAGTTATGAAAGGAAACTTGGTTGGTACTTCTCACTACTAACAAGTCTTGTTGACAAATATTTTCAGATCAGAGTTTCAAATAAAGTAAATTGAAGACGTCATATAAAAGGTGTTTTTCCTCTAAGGGAACATTGACTACCTCTGTCTTGTCTGCATGCCAAATGTTTGCAAAGTGTGTGGATGATTCCAGGTATTGGAACTCTTACAAAAATGTTTTGTAAGAATAAAAACAGCAAAACAAATTACAGCAATTAGACATGAAAATAGAGCAAAAAACTGAAAAAAAAAGCAGCAACAACAATCATGAAAAAAGAAAGATTAATTAGGTGTTGAATTTGTTTGTCTAAGGCGTGAAATTTCTACTAAAAGTATTGTCAACAAAAAGTCTCTGACAGCGTTTGAGGCAACTGAGCTTGACTGTTCCAAGGTTTTCTAACAAAGGCAACCAGTAATGTAGGTTAGGGAAGTAAGATAACAATGTAATTATTGTTAATTATTGTGGAAGTTGGCAATTTCCATTTAACATAACTGACAGCTGGTTCATGAGAAAATCCATATTAATGTAAAGATTTACTAAAACTTAGTTTGAGTAATAAATTTCATGATCTTTAAGTTATAAACATGTACATGTATGTATATCTCTTGGTAAGTTTTGTATAGCATACCTTTTATTGAGCCAAAGTTTTAAGCCTCTGAAATGACTCTTTTTCTTAAAACCTTCACATTCAAGGTATTGAGGATTTCTTAGAATTTATGTGGACCTCAGGGTATTAAAATTGCCTCAAATTCAATTCCCAGAAATTCCCAAGAGTTCCACACTTCTTAAATTATAGGTAGTTTGTAAAGCTGAGAATTCCTAGGAATTCCTAGGGATTCCAAGTCCTCACAAAACTGGAGTCTTCCTTTCCCAGAAATTCCCAGTAATTCCAAGCTTTTTAAATCAGAGTTAATTTGCATAGTTGGGAATTTTTGAGAATTCCTAGGAATTCCTAGGAATTCCTAGGAATTTTTAGGAATTCCTAGGAATTCCCAGAAATTCCCAGAAAACTGGGAATTTGGTTTGCAAGGGTCATTTGCATATTTGGGAATTTTTGAGAATTCCTAGGAATTCCTAGGAATTCCTAGGAATTCCCAGAAAACTGGGAATTCAGTTCGCAAGGGTTGTAAACTTAGAGAATCCCAACTTGATAGTGCAAAATATCTGTGTAACAAGATAAGTGTTGATGACAAAGAGTGGATTTGTAGAACTTGTAATAATCATTTGATGAAAAACAAATTCCCACCATGTGCTATAGCTAATGGCATGGGTTTTCCAATGAAACCAGAATTTTTTGACCTTAATGAATTAGAATGTAGATTATTAGCACCAAGGATTGCATTCCAAAAATTAATGCAAGCTCCACAAGGTAGACAGCTTAAGATACATGGCAATATTGTAAATGTACCTGCAGATGTTGCTCACACTGTAACCATGTTACCACGGCTGCATAGCCAGACTGCAACTATTAAAGTCAATTTAAAACGTAAACTACAATATAAAAGTTCAGCATTATCTTTGAATGTAAGGCCAGACAAGGTTGTTCAAGCAGCCAAATGACTGATGTCAAATAGCACATTATATAAAGATGAGGGAATTGTATTCAATGAAGACTGGGCAAATACATATGTTACAGAAGTTGCTCAGCTAGAAAATGATGATAATGAAATGGAGTGTAATGATAACTTGTCTGAAAATTTAAATAATCAAAATGAAAGCGAAGATCAATAAATTCCAGCTGGTGTTACTGAGACTTTATTCACTGCTACAGACTTTTTAGAAGACAATGAATGACAAAATATACTAAATGTTGCTCCAGCTGAAGGTAATCGGCCACTAAGTGTTTTTAGAGACAAATACTGTGAAGAACTAGCATATCCTGGAATATTTTTGGGACAGCCACGACCGGATACTGAACAATGAAAAGTGAAAGTAACTTAAGGTGACATATGTAAATCAGAACTGAGACGGTCAGATAGATGGGCTGCAATGTGTGTGGAGAATATATTCTTTAAGACAAGAAAACTTCAAATGAAAATTCTTTTAGGAAAGTGCCATATTGCTCTTAGAAAATATAAGGGAAATGGCCGAAGCATTAATGCAGGACAGTTGAAACAACATGGAGCTTTAGATAGGCTTATTCATCAGTCATGATGAAGGCTACAAATTTCTAAATGCTTTGAGAGGTTCACCACCATATTTTGAAAAAGCCAAGAAAGACTTGTTTGTTTGTAATGATAAGACAGTTGGGTCCAGCTACGTTGTTTTGCAGTTTCTCATCTGCTGAAACCCAATGGGTGCATTTACTTAGAATACTTACCCAGTTACTTGTGCCAGACATTTTGATTATCAAGTCAACCAGTTTTTAACTCACTTTCTATTAAGCTCTTCAGAGTCTTTGGGTAAAATATCAGACTGGTTTTATTGAGTAGAATTCCAACAGAGATGATCACCTCATATTCACATGCTGATATATGGATAAAAGATGCACCACAATTTCAAATAGATAATGACAAAGAAGTGACAAAATTTATTGATAAAATCATTACATGCATTAAACCTATAGACAACCCAGAACTGTTAAAACTTATCAATAGACAAGTACATAGGCATTCGCATACATGTCGTAAAAATACAAGCAATCCTTGTAGATTCAACTATCCACAGCCTCCAATGAAACAAACAATGATATTGTATCCATTTGATGAAAATACACCCAATAGTGACATAAAGACATACAAAGAAAGCTGGAAATCAATAAAAAGTTATCTGGATGATTTACAAAATTGCGAAGATATGACATTTGAGGACTCATTACTTAAGCTGAATATAACTGAAGAAAACTATTTGCTTGCTATCCGTTCATCTTTGAATGCTGCTACCATATTTTTGAAATGAAACCCAAATAAAATACACATAAACAACTATAATGCAGATTGTCTAACAGCATGGAGAGCAAATATGGATATACAGTATGTATTAGATGTATATGCATGTGCTGTATACATAGCAAATTACATCAAAATCACAAAAAGATACGAGTGAACTTTTGAGACAGGCTTGTACTGAAGTTAGAGGGGGCAATTGCAATATAAAATAGCAAGTAAGAGATATTGGTAGTAAATTTCTTAATAATGTAGAAATAAGTGCACAAGAAGCAGTTTATATCACATTGCAGTTACCCATGAGAAAGTATCGAGACAAATCATATTTATAAACACTTCACCTCCTGATGAAAGGGTAGAGTTTTTGAAGCCTATAGAAGACATTAAAGAAATGGATGATGACTCTGAAGAAATATGTACCACTGGGTTACTTAAGAGATATTGTAAGCGCCCACCAAAATTAGAAAATTTAACACTAGCAGATTGGGCTGCATGGTATGATAACTGTAGTTCAAAGCCATATGTTAAGGAAACACATGAGATTGCATGATATTGATGGTCTTCCATTGGAAAAATATATTGATGATGAACAAAATGATGATGATGATGAGTTTGTCAAGACAACAAACAGTAAAACAAGGAGACATTCTAAAGCTAGGGTTATAAAAAGTGTATGGTTTAACAAACAAAAAGAACCAGAAAAACATTATTGTGAACTTTTAATGCTGTTTACTCCATGTATTTGTCTGCTTCAAGTGCCTCATTAATTGTTACCATAGATGAGGAAACATGTGAATTATAGCAGAATTTTGCAGTAGTTGGCATGATTTTAGATTTTTTTGTGATTTTGAATTCTTTATTAGTTGTAGAAAAGCTAGTTGTAGAGATCCTCTTTGTCTCAGTAATTTTGACAGGAGGTTTTTTTCTGGAACAGTTCAAGCAGGTTCTTTCTTTGTTGCGGTTCATAACATATTCCCCTGACTTTGTTGGTATCACTCGTTTGCAAGAAGAAGTCAAAGTATGGGGTTTGCTTCTTTTTAGTGTTTTTGATCAGGCTCAAGGAGTGTAGATATCCCTGTATTTCAACATCTTAAAAAAAGAATAGGAAAAAAACCCAAGTTACGGACACACATGTAAGCACGATAACATGGTGCTTTGGGCTCTACGAGCACTAGGCACAAAAATTAATTTGTATATTATATAAAGTTATTGATAAGTTTTATGATGAGAAGAATGGCATAAAATACCTTGAGAATCATTGCTGTTGGTTTGTTTCATTGAAGATGATCTGTTAAAAAAAGAATGCAGTGGTTAATTAATAATTAAAAAAAGAAAGTAATTTAAATAATAATTCTGACATATTAAAATCGACAAAGAAAACTCATCAAAATAACACTTACAAAGATGCTGAAGGATTTTCCATTGTCCAAAAGTATGTAACCATAAAAATTGTGCAGATGTCTTGAAAAGAACAACGATGCAAATTTTAATCAAAAGCTACAGTATTATCATGACTAGAAAGTGTTAATCATTTATTTTAAGCCTATGATAAATTAAAAAACAGTTTAGTATTGCACAAATTCCTCTGTGATCTCAAAAGTTTCTAAAATTTGAAATGTAATTTGCGATTCAGGTTGGTTGGTGCATATATGATCAATGCAAGTATTGTTATCTGTGGTGGTACACTTAACTAATTGTCTGTAACCATGATTATTGATAAAGAAATTGTAGAGTGGCAAACAATTAATAACATTGAACCAGTTAATATTGAAATTACCAATTAAAAGATTGACTTCTGTTTGAAGTGAATCTAAAATACTCTGAAGTGCAGTGCATAACTGTTGTATTGATTGAAATATGTAAAGTTATTGAAATATGTGCTATAACAATAAATCTTAGAACTGTTATTTCTATGCCATTTGTGTTAGCACAATATGGATATCCCGAATAGTAGTCAAGACAACTATAAACTACAGTTCCTTCATATAGTTGTATACTGGAAGGATTCCTTGCTGGTACATCATTCCTGAACATGCTCTATATGTTATCATGTGTTAAATTATACAAACTATCATCATCCAAGTTGTAGAACCTGCTTTCAGCAAAAATGCTTACATCAGTACTGGAGTAGTTGAGATCTGCACATACGTCTTTGATGTGCTTATGCAAAGACCTTGCATCAAGATAACATATTTTCAAACTAATTTCTGGTACATTATATAATGGGTTTACTGCAAATGTCAATTGTCCTTCAGTTCTCAATCGATGCATTTCTGTCCGCACACCATCACTAACAGCTATTTTATTCTCACACAGGTCAGTCACATAGAGACCATCAATAGTCGTTACTCTACTTAATCCTACATAATGTATGTGAGGAATTGCCCTTCTTGTCTCAAAATTTACTACAATCTTTGTTTCAGTATCACCTCAATGGAAATTGTTTTTGCACAACATGCACTGACTTGGATCTGCTAACAGCAAACTGTTTACTTGTAGGCTTAATTGGTGTCCATGTTGGTTCAATGCCATTAATATACAACTGTCTGTTCTCATTCCTTGTCTTTACTCCTACATCTGCATGATCAAACTGTACCCATATGATCCCTGAAGGCTTATTAGTATTGTGTATTTGCATCAGTTTAATAAAATTTCCTGCACCATTAGTCATGCCATCATCTGTCCTTGTATTCAGAGATATCTCAGTTCTTTCTCCAACTGCTAAGTGTAATATCGAGTGTAATTGTTTAGTCTTCCTAGGATCGCTCGGTATCTGTTTCAATAATTTGTCTCTAAGCTCCTGTGATTCAGCTCCAACTACACTATCATGAGCTTTGATAGAATATTTCATACCTGTAAGAGCATTGTGAACTTTGCAGTTAAAATCATTCACTTTTGAATTTTGGATAAACAAATGTGGTGCATCTTTTGGATAGTTTGGATTACTTAATGCAATGCTGTGAGTCCTTAATTTTGCAATGTCTTCATTTGTATGATTACCTTCTCTTGATCTGTTTAATAGCTCAGCAAATTCTTTGCTTTCCCTTTGCCTCATTATTTGTTTCAGTTCAAACATTTTGAAAAGCTCTTGCCGCACATTAGGAGCAAGAATTCCATATTCATCATTATTCATGTTCTTGAATATATAACCATCCATCACTGGTTGTAACTGGAATAAATCTCCAATAGCAACTATACTGACTGCACCAAAAGGTAGTGAACTACCTTTGATATCTTTGAGTCTTCTGTTTATTTGAACAGTGAACATGGTATTTCCCACCATAGATATCTCATCAATAAATATCAGTTTAATTCCACCTAGTTGACATTGTATTGTGTTAAGTCTAATTGAGTCAAGGCTTTTGTAGTTTCTTAATGACTGACTTGCTGGTATTGCAAGAGCACTATGTATGGTATTTCCCTTAATGTTATATGCCGCTTTTCCAGTAGGTGCTAGCATCAATACTTTTGTTTGTGAAAAATCAATGCCAGGTCTAGTATTGTAATACTTCAATGCAGCCTGATATAAGGCTTCAGTGACATGTGATTTACCAACACCTGTACCACCATTAAGAAAACAGTGAAATGGTTCTTCAGAGGTCTTAATCAGATGCAATACATGTTTATTCAAAGTTTGTACCATACGCCTGTATTCATCATCTGGTAATTCATTCATTGTCAGTGGTTCACTATTGTCTACAGATGGTATTCCTAAATCATCTGATAGATTATAATTGCCACTAAAATTAGGATGTAAATCCTGGTCCCCTTCTGCCTGATGTTGTCGTTCTATATTTTGTGTGCAGGGAGCTATATCATCATATCTGTGTTCTATTTTATTTATTTGTTGCTGGATTTCATTGAAATCTTTATTACAAACAGCATATTGTTTCATTTGTTCTTTAATAACATTGGAGAGAACCATACATCTGTCTTCATATGATGCAAAGTTTCCTAGTAAATCCTCAGGCCTACACATGTTTTAATAATGCACTACAAAGTTTTCTTGCATCTATTGAGAAGAACACTAGTTTGGACGATATCACAAAAGACCGATTAGAAGATTTGTTCCTAAATGCTGGCACAGTACAGATGGTTGTAGATAATTCTATGCATGTCGTAGATCAGTTTCTTCCAAAAGCCATATAGAATAACTTTCCCGATACAAACTCTTTCACAGCTATTCTTGAGATGAAAGATTTGTTTAGACATCAACCTCATTTACCAAAGGAATTGAATGACACTCTTGCAGAAGGCCATTGTGTTGACTTTATTTTTGAAAATTACCAAATCATGCGTTGTATGCAACAATACTTATATGATGAAAATGCTAAAGCCTGCAAACGTACTCGGCTTTGTAGACTATACAACAGTATACAACATCAAACTTGCGTTTGCACACCATTTCAGTTGCCAAATTATACACGACTCAACAAGCCTAATGCTGTATAGAGAAGTTTGAGTCTGCTCAAATTTCTACTCGACAACTATAAGACTCTTCTTACAAGTCTAATATTTTATAGCATAATTGCTATTAATAGAAAGTACCATTACATGTTTTTATTACTTAGTTCTTCAATTATGAATTACAGTTGATACTTATTTCACAATAAAGTTTCATGTTGTTGTTACAGTAACAAAATTTATTATAAAAGTTTATAGCATAATTACTATTAATAGAAAGTACCATTACATGTTTTTATTACTTAGTTCTTGTTTAATTATGAATTGTTACAGTTGATACTTAATTCACAATAAAGTTTCTTGTTGTTGTTGTATCATGTAGTCATTGCGGATGATACTATTTTTCATATCACTGGGCACATGTAGTCATAGACTGCCTATATTTTTTAGCCTGAAAAACATCTGGGTTCCATGTCAGATATCGCTTCAAAGGAATACCGTGGCGGGCCACGGGCGGATCACCTTTCGAGTGTGTTGACATATTTAAATATACCCAAGAAATACGGAGAAATGTATGGAAATTACGGATGGAACGCTGAATGATAAAAGTTTTAACGCATCTGCGTCTGAAATTCTCATCAAAGAAAATGTCCCCTGCAACTTCGACGTACCAATTCCGCTGCCTTCCCTATTTAAATAAGTTTGCGGTAAAATTTCCGCACAACCCCATACTACATTATGCATTCAGTTCTTGGATAGAGAAAACAATGACAAAAACAATACATTACCATATTGGGAAAACAGATTTATTTTACAATAGTATGAGGCTATGCGGAAATTTTACTAAGTTTGCATCCATATGGAGAGAGAATGTTACTCATATGCCTGCCGGTGTGAAGGAGACAAAGATAGTTACTTGACGACTTCACTTTTCATCGTACAATTCTTTAAAACCCTTTTAATTCTTTAAAAACCTCGCGCCGGTTCATCGCTCGAATAACATTTCGAGGTGTTCGTATTCTTAAGATCATTTCTTGTCTTACCTTTTGGAATGTTCAATACAGTCGTGGTGTTTAGGGAAAATAAGTTAACTTACGGATTATGTCTTGCCTGGAAGTTTTAAAATGATAGCGAACAGCGTGAGCAAGTTTCTATTATTATCTCCTCAGTTAGCTATCGCATGGTTTAAATTATTCATTTACAAAAATCGCGCTTTGTCGAAGATTTGTTGTTTTACTCTAAGAACGAAGTGATAGCTTTTCCCAAGATTGAAATATAATGAGATTGAGTTAGCGATGTTCATGTTTACATTAAGTCTGACCACAGGTGGCCCAAGCTCCAGCTGTGAGATGATCATCTTGCGCAATAACAGTCATGGCGGAATTATAAGAGTTTGTATGGGAATATTTACGACCGCTCTAAGGAATAAAAAAATACGTCAAATTCTCAAAAAAAATACCTCACTTTACTTCCACAGTGTATCATTTGACCGCTTACTTTGATGAAAAGAGCCCATTTTAGCGAGTTGTTCATTTCGAGGTTTTCAACGTACATAAAATTATGAACGTTGAAAACATCGAAATGGACAACTCGCTAAAATGCGTCCTTTTCATCAAAGTAAGCGGTCAGATAACAAGCGACACAACTCTTATAATTCCGCCATGACTGTTATTGCGCAAGATGATCATCTCAGCTGGAGCTTGTGTCGCCTGTGGTCTGACGCGGTAATTTGATTTTGAAAATATTGTCATGTGAGAACTCGTCAAACCACAGGCAACCCAAGCTCATGTCTCGAGAAAAAGCCAATGATTAATTCATGAACACTGTGTTATCATGCTGTCTACTCGATTCATTCGAACTTCTAGAAATGGTTTGTCTCACAAAAAATGGAGCCACTTTCTCTTCGCTCGACATCTCGAGGCGTACCTAATGCTCGGGTCGTGATAAACGTGCTTGCGACACGATAAATATTTCCTAGTGCTGGAATCTGAAGAATCAATCTCTGAAATTGATAGTCATCACATTTTGCAAGAGGCTTCCGAGCTGTGATCGTGTAATTAAACGAGCTCCTGGCAATATGAACTCTCAAGCACGCTGGTAAGCACATGATTAGCGTAAATAATTGTTGTTCACACTTGTCGAATTCGAGTTTTCGAGAGTCAGTTTCTGTAACCTTACTGGATGTTTTCTGTTGAATTCATTGCGGTACAATCTCGGAATTTCATAAGAGATTATGAACGATAAATTCTTATCGGCACCATGATTTGGGGGAGTTTTGTTAACACATTATCAGTTTACAATTCGTGAACCATTTCTGTAACCTGCTTTGATATTTTCTCTTGAATTAATTGTGTCACACTCTCGGAATTTTAATCAGTAATCAAGAACGATAAATCCGTATAAGTAGCACAAGTGACGCACATTTTATACTTTCCATACGATTTTAGGAAATTATACTTAATTGACTCTCGATAAATTTGCCTGGCATAACGCGTTGATTATTTTTATTATTTTGTGGCCCCAAAAGCCCGCCTTATGAATCTGGAGGTACTGAACTTGATATGTTTGATACATAGGGCATCCTTCAAGCAGGAAGGTTAGAATAAAATTTATTTTACGACCGTGTATTGCACCCGGTTTACATGGAAGTTATGGTGGTGATTGACCCTTTTTTACCAGGATGTATAGGATCTGATGATTATAATGTATATCTTTTATCTTTCAAACTTTCAACTTTGCATTAATTGTAACTGTTTACCATATCTATTTCTCAAAAGTTGAAGCAAGTGGGTCAATAACCTCACTTCCTTTATTTGTTTGGAACCGCTTCGCGTCGTGGTTTCCTACGCTTATCTCGTGTTCTCCCAACCTCCCGCGTGTTTACATCAGGCTATATAAACACGGAAACCATTTTACATTTCTTTTATAAAATAACCAATGAAAGAGGAACGAAAACCGTGTTTACATACGCTCATGTAAAATGGTTTTATGGCCAATCAGAGCGCGCGTACTATTTTAGTCATTTTATAAAATGTTATGTAGATAATTGCTTAAATTTACCTATTGTAGCTGTATTCAGAAGCATAGACATGTAATATGCTTTTGCTTTATTTTATTGTAAGAGGTTTCTTTTAATGTAACATACACCATTCCTTTAATTTCCTCCTTAACCTGCCTGCAAATAATTAAATTTTATGTTTTAATTGAAGTGACTGAGAAGATAAAACAGAAGTTTTGCAGAGCACTCTTTCCAGAATGAATTCAGGTGAGAACATCAGTAAACTAGTTGATGTCATGTGCTTCTCCTGAATCTTTAATTTTATTGCCCTGGGTTTTTTTTTTTTCACAAAGCCTCTTTTATATCTGTGTGTGCTAGCTAATGATTAAATCTCAGTGAATAGATATGCTATATCTTAGTAGCCATCTCAATTAACCCTTTAACTCCCAAATCGAATTTGTAATTGTCCTTATTATCAACCATACAATTCTTACAATGTTAGTTCAACCAATAATCCCCTGATTACTATTTTTATTTATTCTCATCACTTGTCTGCTTGATATTGTATTGCTATTGTTAGGAGACATTCTGTCTTGGTCATACATAGGAGTTAGAGGGTTAAAGGAAGCAGGTTATTAAAAAAATTATAACTT